ACTTGGAGGTAAGTTGGTGAAGACAGTTTGAGGGAGAGATGATGACGGTACATCAAGTGGGATTGGATAGACTCGAAATGTTCCCTATGAAAGAACCATAATGACTATGATTGCGACCTTGCTAACGACAAGCTCTCGTTGATTTTATTACCTTGAATTCCCCGACTACATTATCATCTTCATCTTCATCGTCATCAGTTTTGCCTCGAGTAATTGGGAATGTCAAAATAAAGTCATTGAATCCTTGAAACTTGTCAACCTTTTCCAGTTCTGTTTGGTAAACCTGGTTATAACCAAGAAAGACACGCTCAATCATGTTATCCATAACCCAGGAAAACAATTGTTTACTTTTCATATTACGTCACTACTTCTTACAGTCATCGGCTTGTATCCTTGTTTTATGTAGGTCCCAGCCTTGTCGTAATCATTGATGGACGCGTAGAACTTAGACCACCAATCGAGCTTTGCATCTGCTTCCTAGGAAATATATGTATAAAACAATAGACTTAGGAGTACAATAGACTTAGGAGTACAATAGACTTAGGAGTACAATAGACTTAGGAGTACAATAGACTTAGGAGTACTCTAAAGGCGAAGGAACTAGAAGAAATAGGAGGCCGGGCACAAGTGTATAGCTAACAAGCGAAGAGAAGTACCTAGCAAGCGTCTACTGTACGTAGTATTGATACAGCAGTGGAGTTTACCTTCTGCTTCTTAAGTTCTTCAGGGTCTTGTTTTACTTCAGATGACATTGCAACGATATGTGATGGAGTGCTGGATGCAGTTGAAGTACGTGGTGCTAAATATAAGAATAAAAACGTTTTATTGTAAACAGCTCTCATATTGAAAGAGCACTGCAMAAGTGGCAATTCYTCATTTCAAATGTCCGCCATCTTGACTCTGGCTCCAAGCTTAGATTGGCAAAAAATATTGTAAGTTGCTAGAAAAATTGTAGAGTGTAACAGGGCTATAATTTTCAGCGAAACTCGTGTTGAAACGGCGTTACAAGATAAGCAGCTGACAAAACTGCACTGTGTAAGAACRTGACATTTAGCTGTAAATGGTCTAGGGGCCGCGGTTAATTTAAATGGTGTCCTTTGAATACAGGGCTGTTCTCGTTATATTAAAATATGGCTGCATTCCTTGTGTTGAKAGAATGGTTGCAGGAAAGAACCAATTGATCAGTACATTTTCTCAGTCATAAAAGAAATTATATTGCGAAATCCATAGCGTAAAGTCATCTTACGTTTCTTTGGAATAGTARTCTTGGCTGGTTGAGTCGACTGCGGTAATGTACACATGAATGGAACCAAYGATCGCACTGAATGAATTCCGACCAGTGGTTTACGACCAAACGAACGGTTGTCTCGCACCCTGATATTCATAGGAGGTCGATAGATCTCTACTACGGGAAGATTCTACAACAAAAGATTGGATAACTACTTCATGTGGGRTACATGCACGTTTGCTAGTAATGGAAAAAAAACAATTCATTGATCAACTGCGTGATAAGTATTTCATAGCAATTAAGAATTCCCGCCATAACTGTCGATGGGTTTGGATTATTTAAACTAGACATGACTTATTTCAAAAGATGTGATTTATACACGTAAAATTACCAATATCATTTTAGGAAGAACTGGCTGATCAAAATTCGGATTCTTTTTGGTGTCCGCGATGATACCCGATGACGCCATAGCTCCCCCGCATTCGAACTCGATACACGGTGACGTCACTTTAGTTAGCTCAAATCTCTTCATATTCCTWACTCCCCATGACAAAACCTGGAAATATGATGTTGATTAGTGGTGGAATCTTCAATAATGAAAGAAGATGAAGTAACAATTCTGCTYAAAACCTGAGATTGCGTATTGTAATGTTCATTCCATCATTACAGATATATTTGAAAACACCATGTGTGTAACAAAGGTTAATGCTAGCAAACAATGCAGTAAATATTGCATGAATACATCCATGCATAGCCATTTACATAGCTGTATATTTCAATGATGAACCATGCATGAAAAATAAGCAATCGTCCAGTTGATCAGATTACCTCGATGGCAGCGGGCTGTGTTTCTGGTCTAACGCCGCTTCTCACTTCGAACACATTCCCTCTYTTGACAGGTGCAAATGGAAGTTCTGCTCCTTCGTTCTACAGATTGATAGGAAACTTAGTTCACTGAGACCTGATATCACAACGATGYGGCTATTAATGTTAGAGTAAATGGGAAGTATCCCATGCAACTCCCCTTCAATTATTTCCATCGCTATAATTGTCATAATGAGAGAATAAAATGWACATGATTGACATACCAAGAACAGCTCACACACAGCCAGGATTTCTCCTGATCGTTTACCGCCGAGATGAATATCCACCCACTCCAGGGAGGGCTCGGGAATTTGGTGACCATGAAGTCTTACGACTGGAGTAAGGTAGCATCGTCCAAGAAAGTCATCCTTACCCTGAAAATAAAAATACAATATAAATAACTGGTATACAATGGTAGGGTTATCAATCGCCTTTTAAAAGCATACAAAATTATCATGGTCGAARAATTCCAGGAAGACGCGAGGTGGATTCTTGKTAATATTCTCAAGACTGTCGTGAATTTCAACGTGATCAAAGATGAGCGTTTGATCCCAGGAAGGACAGATAGTTTGATGCAGTACATCTGTGCACTGACTGTGTTTACCAAACGCTACCCGGACGTAGCAATCTAAAAAAAATAAAAATTTCATGTAGTTTCTTGATTATCTACAGCAAGCAGATAAATTATTTTGTCAACAATGTCAAAAAAAAGAATATATCAATATTCTTTATTACATATTACAATTTTCATTGGTAAAAAGAGTGATAGAGACTTCTGGCGACTCGCTTACCATTCATTCCACTCTCATCTTTGGAGATCATGTCACGTGCTTGAAACAAATAAACCCAAAGTTGAAAGCTGCGAGGCTCTGAAATGAGCAGAATCAACAAATATTAATAGTGATAAAAACAATGAACCGTCGAWTGCAAACCTTACTGGTAAAGGTGACGAACATCCTAGGCATATTGCGTATGCATCCCTTCGCGTCATCCTGAAATAATGGTGAGCGGTGAGAATAGTCTCGTAATATATTTTACCCTCTTTCGTCCTCCATTTCCCTTCTCATTTGTCCTCTTCCACTCTCTTTCCTTCCCCTCCTTCACCCTTGTCCTTTATCTTTACTCCCTTTGCCTGGATCCYCCTTTCCTCCCTAGGAAGTGTTTAAGATCTCTAAAGACTAAACTCCCATTCATAAACCCATACCTCTCCTTCGATTTGCATCATGAATATGGGAGGAAGTTCCAACTGGTCATCTTGATTGCCTGCTGCGATCAATTTCCTGTGCCATCTTCTTCTCCTCACAAAGTCAATTTTTCTCTCCTTTGCATGAAACCTCGTGGTGAAAAGGTTYGCATATTCCCATCCTTCCTTGACAAACTGTTCAATCTCTGCCTGGAAAAGTATAGCAAATGAAACTGCTGAATATGAATTTTTTGTTGGTAAATATGTAAAAGCTTTAGCAGAACTTCAATTCTTTTTATGTTTMCCAATAAAAATGTACTTCATAACCAATTTATACCTTTTTACCGGCAGCAGTTGCATCACGAAGTTCTCGGTTTCTGACCCAACGTCTACGTCTAACAAGGTGATAAGGTTTTTGAATAGGTCCATAAGCACCATACGAGACATCCACCGAGTATTCCCATCCTGGCATAAAACAACATGGTATGGATGACATAGTTTCACCGTCCACGGCATTCTTACCAAATATTAAATGTGCATGACATACCTTCATTGTCAACAGCTCGATTACTGTCCACCTGCCAGTCAGTAGTCCATTCCCAGCCATCAGGACATTTGATTCTATCTGGACCAGTACTTTCATCGTTGTGCTACAGTATACGACAGATAATTAAATGCACCAGGTACATGGACGGGTTGAACACCAATAGATTAAACAGTTCAATCAATGGGAAAACAAAAAGTGAAAGGAATAAAAACAGAAAAAATGAACGGGGAGAGGAGATCTTACCACATCTGACCACTGAATAGAGGCCTTGCCCCATTCCCCCCCGGGCATCATACGGGACTCGTTCTCAAAGACGTCTTGGAGGAATAACSTATGTCCAGCGTCACTTTCGTAAGCCAAACTACATTAGAAAACAAGAACTATTACTTAACACACTCACATCAGCACATGGTATTCTGTGAAAAAAAAAGATTTTAATCTTAAAATCATTAACACGTTACTTGCCTCAGCTCAGGGTTCTTAAACCAGTCCCCATCAAATTTCCATCCAGATGGAGCCTGGAACTTATCTTTCGGAAGAGGCAGCTACAAACAGAGAAAACCCCTTCAATTGTGAAACTAATTTATCATCACTGGGGATGTATTAAAAAATTAAACATAAAGCCATGGAGTTAAAATACATATATGATATTATACTTGAGTGATGTATAGTGTATGAATAGATGATGACTATCACTGCATTTACCTCTCCATTTGCAYTGGAGAACTTAGGGCGTGGCAGCATTTTCTGTGTCCATATTCCTGCCACAGACATCTCATTCTCGTACTGAAAGAAAACGTAAGTCTTACCATAGAGATAATTGCTTACACATGAAACATATCTCAGTTATAATCAGCTTAGAAAAAAAAATGTCAGAAACAATAGTGACTAGAAAAGTTTAGCATGTGTTAGCACACGCACTTGAGATAGAAATTTACTTTTGGTATTTTTGTAACAAAAAGTTGTACAAGATCAACCTATATGTATTAATCTTATCCTCTACAGATGAAATAGAACATTGACATTAAAAAAGAATTGACAGATGCTTTTCGTGTAAACAGACGGCGACGAAGAACAAGAGTTTGTCTAAAACCATAAAGTTTGAACACYGTGTTGTATATCATATTATATTTACTCTTTACTTTTCAGTTAGGCAAACACCTAGAGTACGACAAACATTGACATCACAAAGTGTCAAAAWGCAAGTAATTCTATCACGATATGATCAGTTTTCTGTATTTTGTTGACATTTCGTTGATTTATCTAGAGTTGGCCGGCTGACCATTTTTTAATTACTTTGCAATGGGCGCGACTTTCTCTTCGTAAGTTCACTTTTGAGTGCGACACAAAAAATATGGAGTTTGAAGAAATGTTTTAAATGTCGATTTCATAACCTTTGAGGCYTTTTTTGTCTCTCTGKTGTCACATTGGACAGACTACAGMCCAGTCTTTCTCGGCACTGCAGAGAATKGTTATTGGCTGAGCTCCTGTTTCGTAAATATTAGTTCTACTGACATCACTGCTGACTGCAAAATAGACGTTTTAACTACCAAAACTACGGACTGTTGTCTTGTAAAAAAGCACCTTAACATATTTCGAGAAAAAATAACTTACTGTCTACAAATACAAGTAGTTGAAACATCTGAAATCCCGCGTTTGGTATACTGCGTGGACCTAAAGACCTTGATCGACTTCATCTCAAGTAAACCCTGAAGCACTGATAAACACACGACTAATAGAAGCAAGCTCAACATGAACAACACCACCACAAATAAAGACATATCTTCCAAATTTCGAAAATTCGTCTCATGGCCTGTAGAGTATCGGGTAACTGTTGGAATCATTGGAGTTGTAACGATCCTCGCCAACTCGGCACTCATCGCTATTCTCTTTAGACAACGACGACAGATGCTAAAAAAGCCTTACAACTTGGTCATTCTTAATCTCGCAATTGTAGACGTACTCACAGGTGAGTTGCAGTAGATCCAACTTGTAAAACATTGTCCTCAAAAGAGTCGCAAATTGACGCACTGTTACTAAGGTTACTGTATTAGAAATATGGAATGAAACCCATTTTATATAACATTTCTTGTAAATGTTCTTGTGTTAGCAGAGCTTACATGGRCTTATAGGGAAGTATTTCAATTGGTTATAATTACGAGCACGATTAGCGACTTATAATATGTAACGGCTTACGTACCAAGTTTTGCGTACGTTTTTTTACTGGTGAGGTTTACAACATATATAGTCGAAGTTATACTAAAAATGTACATTATACACTTCTTAAAAATTACAAGATGCTGGTGAGAAAACCAGCAGATTACAACGTATAATCCAACAATTTTCATCACATGTTCACAGGAATATTTATGTTCGTCACGCCCGATGTGATCATCAGCTATGTTCACTACCCTTCTTCGATGACAAAGTCAAGTGCGTTTTGTTACTTGGTTACATCAGATTATTTGATAGTAATGCAATCAAAGCTGTCCATCGCACTAGTGACCTTCCTGGCTTTTAATCGATGGCTGTCAGTCATACATCCATTCAAATATCGGGTGTACTTTTCGCGTAAACATGCAATCTTGTTCCTCGCTGTCATTTGGGTCACACTTATAGTTGTATCATTAAGAAGCCCTTTGAGAATGAAGTTTGACAAAGGAAGATGTTATCGCGGGAAAAACTGGCCCTCTCCTTCGATCTTAATGGTKTGGATGCTCTTCTACGTAGCGGTGACATATCTCATTCCCATCATCCTTAGCTGGTTGATGTTTGCTCATATATATTGCAATCTTAGAAGAACCAGAAACGTCAACAGTTCAGGAAGTGCTGTGSTGAAGAAACRCAAGTCAATTTTGCGCATGTGCGTTGTGACTGCTCTCGTAACAACAATCTGCTGGGCACCTGCGGAGATCTTCCTGGTAATTGCAGTGACTGGAACGGTTAACCTTCCACCCAAAGAAAGGCAAAATATCCATAACGTAACGAAGTGCATTGGTTTCTTTAACAGCTGCGTCAATCCGTTCCTTTATTGTTTAACTAATCGCTATTACAAAGACGAGTTTGCCAAGGCTTTTAAGGCCATCTTTTGTCGTCAGAAAATCAATCCAGATAACAGCCAGSAACAAGATGGTCGTTAAATGAAGTTAACAGAGTTAACATGCTTACATACACCATTTAGGTGCATGTTCTGCCAATAGGATAAAGATGTTGCAAGCCTGCAAGGCCATTTATATGCTTTCTCTATGAACATATTATTGTGACAATGTTAATGTCATTAAAACATTAAAATGTTTTCGCGCCCAAACAACACCTGGTATGTTGAATGTAAATATGCGAAGTGTAAGAAAAGAGGAAGCAAGTCTCTATGTTCACCTGTGTTCATGGACGTSTTATTGGATATAACAGTAGATTGCTATCAGGTGGTAAAATGTATATGAATCCTTAATTAAATTTTACTACTATTTGCCAAATGTAAAAATAATCTCAATGCAGCTGGAAAAAAAACAATGTGAAGATGATAACCTTTGATAACWCATTGACTTTGACTGAACAAACAAAGGTACAATAAGTATAGTTAATCTATTCATGAAACTTACTGTCTCGGCATAAATAACAAATTCACCGTCAGACTTTGCGCGCCCACTCCAGTCCCTCTGATACTCTTCGCGTCCAAACCACATTTGCAGCCTTACGACTGCAGGGATTTCTGGGTGATCTTTCAAATCAAATGCTTTTTGRCCTGGGTACTAGAAAATACYAATTTCTAAATAGACTAATAAGAGAAACTTGATTATRCCAAAAGCCTTACCTTCATGATCAATTCAATGGTTCTCTTACAATACTTGCCACTTGCATCTTCAGCAGGRGARAACAAAACTTGGTACGCGGGAATCCTGTGGTAAGCAATTCTATTGCTACCGCTGACCATCCAGATTATGACGTCAGGTATACTATTTTGAGGCTGATAAGAAAATTATTATCAGTCATTAATTAGGACAGATGGAGCGTTTTTCATCTTGTATGTAA